TTTTATTTCAATTAGAAAAATAACTTATTCATGTGTATAATTTAAAGTAAAAATGATTCTATAGTGTTTAATGAAAAGAGTCCCTATTCCTCTCTCTCCAGTTACTGATTCTAACTTCCTAAAAGCAATTACTTTCAACCTTTTCAGCTGTTTCTCCTAATATTTGCTTCCACATTTCTTTTTTTGTTTTTGGTGGCTGGCTGGTATGCGGATCCAAACCCATGACCTTGGTGTTACCAGCACCACGCTCTCCCAAGTGAGCTAACCAGCTAGTACTGCTTCCATATTTCTTTTCATTAAAAAAAATTTTTTTTTGGAACATAGTTGAATATTTCTAAATAACATGATTTTACTTCTATTTCCTGATTTTTTAAGTTTTAGATATTATTTAATAACTTCCTATTATGGAAGATAAAAATTTAACTCATATTTTCCTTTCACCAAAACACCCCAAACCCCCATTCTACTAATATTTCATGCATTTTAATGTTTAGTTATGTTGGTTTTACTAATATAACTTATAATGTTTACATAAATGTTATTTATACTGAGCTAACTACTATGATTACATTTCCTTTTTTGTACAAATTTATTTTCCTCAAGGTTATTAATTATCTCATATTTTATTTTTTTTAAATACTACTTACTAGTTTAGCCCCGTACTTTCCTACTGAGCTCAAACTTCCAATGCAATTAAACATTTTGGGTAATCTGTCTGTTCTGCTTTTTTTTCTTTTTAATTCAGAGGCATCTCTCTAAGAGCCCTGTTCTCCTCCTGTCCAAATTTGGACAAGTTGTTCTCTATGCCTGCTACACAGCTGTCATCCTGGAACTCCAATGTCCTTTAGCACTGGAGCCAATGGCTTCCTTCTTTCTTATTTTGGTCTTTTCTTGGAGTATATCCTGAAGTAATTTTCTCAGAAATACAGTGCTGATGGAAAATCAGGTGCCATTTAAATCTCTTGTTCTTTTGTAGGTATTCATACTTTTCCCTTTGAGAGTTTTAGAAGATATATAGGGATTATTCTTGTATTATTTATCCTGCTCTCTGATTAAGGTCCTTTAAACTAAATTTATTTCTTTGTTATTTTTTTCACTCTGTTTTTCGTTTTGCAACTACTACTTGTTGAATATTGGATTTCTTGGCTTAATCCTGTGTCTTATTTTTTCTCTCCCATTTTCAATCTGGGGTTCAGAAGAGAAATTACTGTTTTCTCTGTTATCTTAATGAGTATGGCTGAGCTCTCATTCCTAACCAACAGTGGGGCCTCTTATATCAGTTCTGTGTGCTCTGGAGGATGCCTTCAAGGGCATCTCAAGGTACTACTTTGTAGATAGACCCTTATTTAAAGGCTTTCTTCTCCTGCCCTCCATACTTGCTGCTAGCTCCAAGCTTTTGTCCTCTATTTTCATTCATTTATTCAGCCAATATCTAGTAAGTATAATGTGCCAGGCAGTGGGGATGTCAACACTGAAAAGCCTCAGATGGCTTTATTTACTTGTTTCCAGCACTGATGTCTCCCTGAGCATCCCCAGCAGACTTCCTCTGCTGACTGAACACCTCCATATAGATGTCTCAAGCTACAATGTTATCTTCTCTCCCAACGTACTCTTCCTATATTTCCTAGTTTAGTTGCTACCTCTATCTACCCATTTTCCAAAGCTCTAAAATATTTGGAAAACCTCTTAATGGACCCAGAACGAGCCTCACAAGTTCCTTTAGGGATAAAAACCTCTGATATGCTCTTTTTATCTTCTACATCCCCAAAGAAAGATGTAAAACCAAAAACAATATTTTCTAACACAGTTTGGCTTACTTGATTTTGTCCAAAAAAGGCTTTATAGTAATTCCATAGACCAGGAGTTGAACCAGGCAAACTATCAAACTACAGAGGCAAATATAATTGGGAACATTTAAAATAATCCCTCAGTGGGCTGGCCAGTCAGCTCAGTTGGTTAGAGCATAGTGTTATGACACCAAGGTCAAGGGTTTGGGTTCCTGCACTGGCCAGCTGCTAAGAACAAAAAAAAAAAAAAAAAGAAAACAACAAAAAGACCCCACCCTCATAGCCAAATCAATTTTAAATGACCAATCTGTAATTAGCAATAAGAAACCATCAGACTTTAAGGGTAATATCTACCTCCTTAGTATACCTAGACATAGCAATTTAAACTGTGGGGAGAAGCTTCCAGAAGTGATAGTTGTCTCTTCTACTCATCTCCTTCTCCACCTTGCAATCTGCTGACCCAGACCTTAATCTTCCCTGTGGTCAATGTTTGCTGACTGCTTCGTATGATACACTGACAATAAGTCTTTTCCAGATCATCAGACACAATTATCTGACCTTTCCTACTACTCTGCCCATGGGCTGGCTTACCCAACAATAAAAACCATTACCTAAGGACAAGTCAGCTGTGACAACTGTATAGCTGGTACTACATGCACATTGTTTTAAATAAAACAAAAACACTATGCAATTGAAAGGTGCTTGATGTGGGACGTAAGAGTTTCCCAGGGTTTGTGGCTAAAGCCTTTGGCAGCATCTATGCTCATACCCATAAGTGTGAAGATTACAACTGTCAAAATCCCAAAGGATTCCATTAATCTTCTAAATGGCACGTTAGAAAATAAAAACACCAACAAGCGTGATTAATGCGAGAGAACATTTTGAAACCAAGTCTCATTTTCTTCTTAAAGTACAGAAATTTTGGGGCCGGCCCGGTGGCGCACTGCTATAGTGCGCCGCTTGGGAAGCGCGATGGCGCTCCCGCCGAGGGTTCGGATCCCACATACAGACCGGCCGCCTACTGGCTGAGCGAGGGGCGGGAGCGACACCGAGGGTTGCGATCCATTGCCGGTCACGAAAAAAGACAAAAAGGAAAAAAAAAAAAAACAAACAAACAAAAAAATATATATATAAACTTGTGCAGTCAATATGAAAAAGACAAATAATTTAATAGAAAAATGGGCAAGAATAAAGAAAATCGGTGAACACCAATGGCTGATTCTTTGAGAAGAGCAATAGCATTGATAAATCTCTAGCCACACTGATCAGGAAAAAAAGACGACACAGATTTCCAGTATTAGGAATGACAGAGGTATTGTCATTACAGATTCTACTGATATGCAATTTGGATGAAATAAAGTGTTAATTCTACATGGAAGGGCATGAGCTCATTTTCATTTAAGGTACTTTTATTGCTTTTTTTTTTTTTTACAAATTGTTTTTTTTAAGGTACTTTTATTGCTTTTTTTTTTACAAATTGTTTTTTTAAGGTACTTTTAAAATTTAATGTTACACTTTTAAATTGTGTCTTGTTTCTTTGTGAAGAAGGTAAAGCTGAACAAAATGTATCAGTGTGAGAACATGTCAATAATATGAAGGGAAAGACTTTTCTTGTCACAGTCACCATTTGAAGTCACGTCTTCTTAAGTTCTGCATAGATCGGCAGTGGTCCACAGCTCAGAAGTGGAAGTTTCACTTAAGCCTCCAGGGCTCATCATAATTCGAAGGACATGCAGCACAGCAAACAACAAAAAGCAAAGGATTTGTAGGCGAGAAAGGAATATGAGGGAAAACAGGAAGTTTCCATGAGAGCGAGCACAAGAAGGAACTGAGGGGAAGCAGAGGCTAGGCTGGTCCACGCGGTGCTTTTGTCAGTGTTCAATAGAAACTTGGGGGCCCAAGCAATTTATTTACTTATTTATTTATTTACAAGATGACTGGTAAGGGGATCTTAACCCATGACTTGGTGTTGTCAGCACCACATTCTCCCAAGTGAGCTAACTGGCCATCCTTATATAGGATCTGAACCCGTGGCCTTGGTGTTGTCAGCACCGCACTCTCCCAAGTGAGCCATGGGCCAGCCCTGACCCAAGCAATTTAATATTTGGCCTATCACATGAACTCCCTTGAAACTACTGACAGTATTTTCATGCTTCCCTTCATACATGCTGAAAGCCGCTTACTTTTTAACAGTCTGGCCCTCTGCACTGACACCAATGAAATGTTGGAATTAAGCACCATGCATTGGCTCCCCAAATGTAACGGTTTTTCAATTTGAACTTCTTATTTTAAGGCTAAAATTATCTGAGTGGCTGGGTAGCCCTCTCTCTAAGGTAGTAAGTGATGGCTTTTATTATTTTGTTTTTTTACCTATAAACCACTTTATACTACCTCTGCAGAAGTATGGTGATTATAATCACACCTTTTTGGGGGAAGTCATTAACAAGCCTCACTGCCAGTATGCTGCCTCTCAGTCACTGCATGGTGTCAATCTCAGACACATTTGAAGTGCTGGAGTAGGAGGAGAGGTAATTAACAGCACACTTTGCATTTACTTCCTGGTATATTTCCCTGTGCCTCTGAACAATACTCTGTGGACCACAGCTGATCAACAATTGTCTGCCTTAGTTGATGACTGCTATGCAGTGAGAATTTAACAGCGTTGGCAATCATTTGTGCTACAGGAAAAAAAGCATTTTGTTTTTCTATTCATTTAAAGGGAGAGGAAAAAATAGCATTTGGGCAGTTCAAAACAGTCTCTGGGCGTAGGAAAAGAAATCCTTTCCAATTCCTTGCAAACTTTGATTTACAAAAGAACACTGGAAGCTAAAAGCCGTGTTGATTTATCACGCGAAGCAAAGAGTAATTTTTCTCCCCTTGTTATGCTTTCATATAATCATGCTCACTGCCTTTATGGGTGGCATTAAAGAATTTCTGAATAAAAATAATAATTTCTTGCTTTCAACCTTCATAATTCACATCAGCAGGCACCCTGCTGTGTGGTGATGCCTATTGCCAGTGACGCTCAATCTTTTCTGCAGGCCACTTATCTGCCTCATGCAGCTGCATGTTTCATTGATCGCAATACCTGCAGGATAATGCGCCCGTAGGCGTTCTTCAGCAGATTAACGTGCCTACTGCCAGTGACGCTCAATCTTTTCTGCAGGCCACTTATCTGCCTCATGCAGCTGCGTGTTTCATTGATCGCAATACCTGCAGGATAATGCGCCCGTAGGCGTTCTTCAGCAGATTAACCACATCCGCATGAGACAGCCCATCCAAAGGTTGCCCATTAATGCTGACAATCCGATCTCCAACCTAGAAACACAAAAGTGGTAGAAAATCACTATCATTACAAAAAATTAAATTTGAGAAGAATGCTTAGATTCTTTGTAAGTCATATTTCCCATTTGTGGCTATTGTGAAGATTCTGTGTTTCTACTGTGTATGCATGTTTGAGAAGCATGAGGAATTTTTTTGGCTTTCCCAAAATACAGACCAATCAGAGAAACAAGAAGGGGGTCAGATTCAATTATTAAAAAGCACGGTAGGCCACTTTTGTATTTTGGTAATGGTGGTGTTTCATACATCTATTTGCCAGTAATAGCGGGGTGTACAAATTAACTGTTCAATAAAGTGCGAATGAGGAAGCCAAATATTTTCTGCTTTATTTTTCTACCTGAGTTAGGATTAAGGAGCACTACGAAAAAAAAAAAAAA